AAATTATACTTATAATACAAATTATGATAACCCACATGCATTATCTTGCATTTAATATAATTAAAACCCATCTGCCATATATTTGCCCAATTCACTAAATGTTCTAAATCCTATTGTAAATCAGCAGCATCCTCTTCACAGCTAGAAACACCCTATACCTTAATATCATCTGCAAATTTAAGTAATTTATTGATCATTCCTTCATCTATGTCATTGATGTAAACCAAAAAGAGCAAAGGTCCTGAGACTGAGCCCAGAGGTGCCCCACTTGTGACATTAATCCAGTTTGACTGAACTCCATCTGTAACAACCCTCTGCTTTCTTCTATCCAGCCACTCTGCTATCCAATTTACTAACTTATCCCCCATGCCTATAGAGTTTATTTTTTTACAAGCCTTTTATGTTACTCTTTGTCAAAGGCTTTCTGAATATCCAGATACACCAAATCTACACTCTTACTCTCATTTACTTAGAGCAGTAATCTTTTCAAAGAATGTGAAAGAATAAAAAACTTTTGTAATTTTTGGTGTAATTTTGTCAATTATATATATATATATAATGTTATTAATTTACAAAATATACTGTCATGTGGAATGTGTATTATTTAACAGTCCTGGGATTTCTTGAAGTTGTGTATTTAGTTAAACTCACATATGCCAAACTTGTATGTCATGTTTTGGGGTGTTTAATAAATAGGGCAATGAGACATCCCATTTTTTGAATGTTGTCCCAGTGTCACAATAGTCAGTATGCACATGATGTCATGGATTAGGTCAGCTTTGTTTATTCTGCCATATTGGACAGAAGAACAAACTGATGAAATAACGATGAACTTAGCAGTTACATGCTTAGATCTGAGTCATGTAATAATGCCAGTTGGTTATACAAATAACTAGAAGACAAAACTGGAACTATCATTCTGTAAATTTCCAGCCAATGAAGAGTGAAGAATAAATGGGCCACTGCAGTGAAATGAGCAGATCCAAGCAGTTGTGACAAGAAATGGAAGCCAGTGGCTTAGAGTAGAAGTTGCTATTTACATTTCATCTAAGATTACTTTTCTCAGTTATAGTTTTTATATGGTGGCATCTACATGATACAGTCATATTACTTTCTGTGTAGATTTAGAGAGATTTATAGCATCGTCTATAAATTTAGCCTTATGTCCCTGTTAAAAAACAGTGTATTAAAAGTAGGCTAATCCATCATGTATGGACCACTGAAAGAACACCCAGAGTTAAGACCACTTGAGGCCAGTTTGTAGGGTGGCACTAATTTTTAGATTCCATTGTCTTTGAAAATTAGACAAAAATTTCACATGTTTTTTTGTAGCTGTCAACTTGTTGAAGGTTGCATTACTTTTAGCCAATAGATTTCCTTAGTCAATTTCAAGTTATTGATTCTGTCAAAAGTTCTGGCAGATTCATCTTGGTGGATTGTGAGATTAATTCATCTTCATATTTTTCAATTACAGTGAGTACCAGTGAATGTGTACCTGTTCTATACAATTTTTCAGTGTTGGTAAACTCAGCATACTCGACACTGGAAGAGCTTGATTTTAGCCAAGAACATAGAACTGAAGTACAGGTCTGATCTTTGCCACTAAATACAAAGTTTTTCAATATAGAATGTGAAGTTACAGTTGGAGAAACCATTATGTTTATGTCCAAAATGGTAGATGATAAAACTAGCTTTGCTTTAAGTCTTTTGACTACATATCCTCTATAGGTTTTTTTGGGATACCTAAATGTCCTAGTTTTTCATTCTTGTCAGTAACCTGTAACCTTTTCTATACTTGTATTCAGTATTTTGACTCTGAGAATCATGAATCCAAAGATATAATTTTTTTTTTAACTGAGTAGGGAAATTACCAAACAGTTCAGAATAACTCAACATAGCCTTTTCTGTTTTCCCTCAAGTTGGCTATGATGCAGACTGCAGAAGATGAAGTGATGTTACTATGGGATACCTCACTGAACGTGTGATTTTTCGCCCACTAAAACAGAGAGAGACAGTTGAATACAAGTGACAGGTAAAATTGGCAGATGATTTTTGATTTTCAAGTCATAAAAAAATTATATAAAATAACTTAAGAATGAATATAAATGATAGTTGCTTAGAATTTTATGACAAACTTATGGTCAACAAGAAATTACCAGGGGTTAAACTGAGGTAGAACAGTCAGGAACAGCATTTTGCTTCTTGAGGATTCAAGCCATTAGCATTTAAGGTCTTCTGATTGGAATATTAAAATAGATCATAAAAGGGAATTCCACTTCTTCCAAAATCCAAATTTAAACAATGAAAATTGCTAGAAAATATTCACTCATCATAGTGGTATCTATAGCAGGTGTTAAATATTCACTCATCATAGAGGTATCAATAGCAGGTGTTAAATATTCACTCATTATAGAGGTATTTATAGCAGGTGTTTAATTTTCATCATCATAGAGGTATGTATAGCAGGTGTTAAATATTCACTCATCATAGAGGTATCTATAGCAGGTGTTAAATATTCACTCATCATAGAGGTATGTATAGCAGGTGTTAAATATTCACTCATCATAGAGGTATCTATAGCAGGTGTTAAATATTCACTCATCATAGAGGTATCTATAGCAGGTGTTAAATATTCACTCATCATAGAGGTATCTATAGCAGGTGTTAAATATACACGATTGTTCATTTTAAGTTTAATATGAGAGTATTATTTAGTTTATATAGTGCGAACGTTAAAGTAAGTTATATTCAGAAGTGATAGTTGTGGCAAGTTTGTTTACATAACTGTTTACAACTCATTTGTTGTAAATTGATATCATGTTATTCAAACTGTCTGAATTTTTCTCGTTGCTTTGAATGAGTATTGTTACATAAAACCATCTCATAGTTTGTAGAAAGTTAATTCAGGCAATACATAGATATATCTATAAGCGAATAAGTTAGATGAAAAAAAGTAAGTTAGAGAAAGTGAAAGTAAGACAAAGTTAGTGCGAGATATAATCAAATAGACCTAGACTGTGTTTGTAAGTTTAACCTTAAAGAGTGTATTCTGGTGACTTTTAAAGTGTAATAATAGCAGATTGTATTGTCATAACAGAGTAGAGAAGAATGATTCATCTTGTCAATTGGTTTCTAAAGTAACTGAACCAGCTTATGATGAAAAAGAGAATTATTTAAAGCTCTAGATACAGCTGTAATAACCAATAGTGTAATGAATTTTTTGTACATATGTTTGATTTGTTTTGAATATATTATTTTAAAACAAGTGGATTGTGTGCTGTCCATTTATTGTTGAAATTTATTGCCAACAATTCATAGACACCTACTGTAAAGAATCTTGGCCTTATAAAAACTCAACACCAGGAATAATGCAAGAACATTTAAAGCTTTATTATCTGGCATCTGCCAAACCTGGGCAGTGCCAGATAAGTGAAAATTTCAGTTATGAAAGCATTTCTCTTAAGATATTTTACATGAGAAATTTTGACACTTTGATAATGTTTTATAGTATTGTTGCATCATCGAGTCACATGACTACTGTGACGCAATGTTTCTAGAACTATCATGTACTTTGGCGAATGTTCTAGTTCTTACTAGATATAGGGTAGGCTGGTATATAAAAGAGGGGAATGTAATGCGTGTGGGTAGATAGTGAGTAATTGAACTGCAGTTAGAGAGCACGAGAGACGTTACAGCGTTTGTTTAGCGCGATTGTTGAACTTGAGTGTATCGGTAAAGTTGTATTCAGAAAGAATAAACCAGTTTTATTAAGTAAAGAATTTGTGTCGCTAAAGTTTCGTCGGAACAAAGTTACGGAAAGTTAATTAACAAACGAGACGTAACAAATTGGTGTCAGAAAGTGGGACAAAAAAAAAAATGGAAACGAGAAGCGGCAAATCAAACT